CATATAATTCATGAATGATCTCATCCGTTATCGATCAGACATCACACAAAATCTAACCATTTTGATCAATAACTTGCTTTAGAAATGAAATAAAAGGGATTTTAATTTACTTACGGTCTCAATATATTCTTCGTGGGGATATCTGATATCTTGCAACTCCATGATAGATTTTTATTTCTAAATTTCACTATTTTGTTATTTTTATTTTAGGCAGCCATTTTAGTATTGAGAGTAATCTCCCTTAAAATTGTCCGAAGCATTCTATTCTCCATTTTACTGTATTTTCGTTGAACAATAATAACTAAAAAAAATCTTAATTTTCAGAATTGATAACATCATCAATTCTGAAAATTAAGATCATTTTAGTTATTGCAGTTGACATAGCCATAAAGCATCAAAATTAGCCCGTGAGATAATTTCTACTGGAAAATTGCAAAAAATGAAAAAAAATACGTGAATTTTTCTTGTCCTCTGTTTTCACGTGCTTTCAGCATTTGCTACTGTTTCGCAAATATTACAATTATAACAGAAACAAGTAATTGCCAATGTAGCTTATTATAATAATAGCTAAATTTATCAATTTTATTGTTATTTGCGAGAAAGGATCTATTTTTGTATTTATTACAATTATACTGGCAATAAAGACAGCCAGAGGTTATTGATGCTCTGTACCCATATACAGGTAAAGTCTTGATGAATTAAATGAACACATGATAGTAGATAATATTGTGCATTCATAGAATTTATCAAATGAATATTATTTATTTTATAAAGCTATAAAATCGCATCGAGCCTTAAAACTAAATTTTCAGCATTTTATTAGCTAAAAGACGGGTAGTCTACCTATGGAAACCTATGGTAGGCCCAAAACAGAATGAAGAAACAAATATAATATACACATTTCGACATTATAACGAGATACCCGGTTTCCCTTTGATACTCATGTTTCTGATGCAAGTTGGAGATGCTGACAAGAAAAAATGTCTTGACTTTCGGATGGGAGAGTAAACCGAGACTTCGTGTGACAGACTATGCCGGCTAATGTTGCTGTCCAGATCAAATTCTACTCTCTTCACACTGCATGATGTTTCATATCATGTCTTCATAAGTAAGATATAAAACTCCACTCATTTCATATAACAATCCCAAAGACTTTTCTAATTTAAATGAACCTTTTTAAAACTGAAAAAATCCGTGGCGACGCCTACGTTATAGTTGACAGACTGACTCAGTGGGTTTGTGGGAGGAACTTTTGTGGCTGAATTCAAAATACGGCATACGGCGTTATAGTCTCAACCCCCCTATATTTTTTTTAGAAAAATTGGATTGATTTGGTTCATTGTGACACATATTTTGTAGCGAAAACGTATGAAAATTTTATTTTTAAAATTGGTTAAATTCTGTGTGTAAACCAGTTTTCTGTAACCCCACTGGCGCCGCCACTGGAAAATATTAATTTCCTGTGTAAGTTTATTTTCAGTATTCCAGACTGTTTTTGATGTTGATATAAAGCTTTGATTGAATAACTCAAATGGAATATATCATTATAGCATTCCTAATCAATTTGCGTATTGTATACACAATTAGCTATCTTCATCACAAATCTATAGTTTACCTTGATGTTTAGCCTAAACACCCATATTTAGTCTATGGTGGACGTATTTTGTTGGCATCCTTGTCGGTCAGTCAGTCGGTGCGTTCCAATCCATGAAATCTCGCATCGCATATTATTAAACATGCTATACAGCTTCTTCCGTTTTCAACCCATTTTCTAAAATAAGGTGTGTATGTATGTAAGCTTATAGAATCAAAACGTAAAGTAAAAAAAAACACTTTAGTCGAGTTAGTGCCAAAAAATCAGCAGGGGATCGATTCGAAGGTTAATTTAGAAATTATGTTGACCTCAAAGCATACTATGGCTATACCTATAATATCTGATAGTTGCTTTACCAGAAAGAGTGCAACTTAAGTTGGCTGTATTAATTTTCTGAAAAGAACTCCTATGATTTTCCATGTTTACAAGTGCAATACGTTGTTAGTAATGAGTTGGTAGATATTTTAGAGAAATCTAGTTAAATATCGAGAGGCACACAGAGAAAACAGGATTGTCATGATACATTTCAGACTGGTATTCTGGTGTCATCGGTCACTATGACATAGCATATCTATCAATCTGATCACGTAACTTAACAGAAAACAGACACCATGCTATGAACCGGAAATGCGTTTTTTACATTACTCAATGTTCGAGTCTGAGACGTCATTTATTGTCACGCAAAGTCATCTAGACCTAGTCTTATTCCACTAGATCCGTTATTAAAGAACATTCCTTCAATGCCAAATAACATTAAGATCCCAACCTATTTTTGTAGTACCCCAAGAAGTCTCCGAGAGGCCCCATGGCCCACTTTAAATAGCACTGTTTTATAATATCAGCTGTGGAGTCAGACGTCTAGATTGTCCACCACCTCCTCGGTGTGCCTAAGAAGGAAGGTGCCGAGTAAACATAGATGTAGATGAAGTTACATTCTCCCATGGTATCAGTCAAATATAATGATGTTTTTTATGATGTAAATTATGATCAATTCTTACAACTCTAGTGACGTCATCCCATAGTTTTGGAGGGAATATAATATCTCATAAAATCGCTTTAATATATAAATAATTAAATTATGATTCCGTTTACACGGTATCCGCCACTGGCTATTCTCTTGGACATCTCTATTGTTAGTATCAGTTCATTAACATTATGTTGAAATGTTATGTATTTATGCGCCAGTATTGTGCCTTAGTTTGTTGCTATTGTAGATAAATATTTAAACACGTATTCGAGTTGATATAATTATAAGGAATGACCTGAACATTTTTTCAGTTTATCGATGTATAAACAGAAAAAACCTGTGTACACTTATGTATAAACCACTACGCGGATTTGTACAGTGTACAGAGGTTTTTTTCTGTTTATACATCGATAAACTGAAAAAATGTTCAGGTCATTCCTTAAGTTATCATATATTGACCGCTAATAATGACCGCTGAAAGCCTTCTCAATCTACGTTTGTATATACGACTTTCACTCTTTTGCCAGAAAACGTACCTTCCCCGAGAATGAGAAACTACAGACATTACATCGATTAACTCCAATGAACACTATCAGGACCAAGAGCATGAATATTACTTTACCTTTAGCCGACTCAATGGCTTCCCAGGTTCACACCGAGAATTCTCCCTTTTAACAATAATGCAACGGTTTAACATGTCTTTCAAATATTAAGCCTAGCTCACTGGTTGATGAACTAACTGACTGCGTCTTGAAGGAACGAGTTGCGTCCCTCATTTCAGTATCATTTCTTTAAAAAAAATAATCAAAACAGCAAATTTGTTCTTGGCAGTTTATAGATCAGATGAAACAGTTTTCTTTTTTGGACCCTTTCCCTATAGGAACCTCCATTGGGGAAACCCTTTCGAAACTTAATTTGTATCCCCTGCACTCCATTTCTTAAAAAATCTAAATATAATTTGTATATGTCTTAACCAAAAAAAAAGAAAAAAAAAGATTCAAAATTCTATTTTTCAATATTTCTTTCCCGGGGTTGAGTCTCCTCATACTCTCTCAATGGGTGGCAAGCACCTAAAGCACTTCTTAAGCTCTGCTGTATTTAGCATCAAAACCCCAACAATCCACCCATTAGCTCAGTTTCTATTTGTAACCTAGGCTCCAAGAATTGTATACAATGAATAATGACACGGTTGTAAATTCAGGAAGCAAGTGTCATTACGTTTCTCAAATCAACAAGATTATGACATGTCATGACATTATGACAATGGTATTGATAATACAGTGAGAAATCACCTGATACTGACAATATTAAGTAACAGTGAATTAAGTACATATCGCTCGGGGTGAATATTTCTTATTTGAATTTAACCTTGGCCCGTATGACGTATAAACTTAACTTAAATAGAAAGATGCACACTTGTTTGTTGACATCATATCCCTCTTATATATAATCAAGATCCTTTTACAAACGTAGATTGAGAAGGCTTTCAGCGGTCATTATTAGCGGTCAATATATGATAACTTAAGGAATGACCTGAACATTTTTTGAGTTTATCGATGTATAAACAGAAAAAACCTCTGTACACTGTACAAATCCGCGTAGTGGTTTATACATAAGTGTACACAGGTTTTTTCTGTTTATACATCGATAAACTGAAAAAATCTAAGAATATTAATATTGTGTACATTATATTTATATGATTTACATACCACAAAAAAGAACCAATATAATCTCTGGAATGTTTCCCTGTGATCTCATATACCCCCTACATGGTACTTCAGGCTGAGTCAGTATAGATTCGTAGCTTACGGAATAACCTAGCTGGACTGTTTGTGGTATGCTGAATAGTGAATGTTGTTTTATCGCCAGTTTAATATAAAAATCATCCAAATTGACCTTTAAAAATCAACCGAAAGGGAACTTTCAATTGACACTGATTTATAAATAAACTGATTTATAAAATTAATGATAACTGGAGATTTATGGTGGCCCTTGTAACACACAATAAATTTCTATATACACTGTGATTCAACTTGTACATGTCAAAGTTTGCCAGTAAAATTATAAATCTGTTGGGAGTCTGAAGCCGTTTCTGTATAGGCACAAATTGATCATTATTGTACAGCATGGAAAGCCGTGATATAACAATTGATTAGTGTTCGTCTTCCAGGCAGCCACTGATGAGGAACAGTACAATTAGTATGTTAGTAAATAGTAACTGGGTTATAATATTAAAATGTGTGGTGTTTTGCTAGGTTTATTGGGAGTGATTGGATTAGAAGTCAAGTGTAAAGTTAGTGATTTGAGAATATTGGTAATTTTATCAGTCTTACTGTCATATCAGTATAATGTAGATACCTACAAGAAGTTAGAGACTATTTACTCTGGTTACATGAGGTAATAGTTAGTGTTACAACAGTTATCTATCAAAACGTGACCATGCCTATTGTTGTTTACGACGGTTTCATGGAAAAGGAAAATTATTCAAATGCCAGAATTATAAATGATTCTGAAATTTCAACATATAATATCGTGATTGGAATTGTTGATTTGATTCAAGCTATATTTATATGTTCTGGAAATGCTTTGACTATAATCGCGGTATGGAAGACACCTGCATTACGACGAATTCCCAATATGTATGTGGTATGTTTGGCTGTAGCAGATTTCCTCTCTGGTATTATATTATTTTATGAGTTTTTATTAAGATTAACATCATTAAGACTAGAGAAGAATGTTTTTTTATGTTTATCAGTGTATGTGGGATTATATATTACGGTATATGAATCTGTATTGTGTATGTTTCTGCTAACGTTCGACAGATTTCTCTACATCTGTCATCCATATGAGTACGCCCGATTTGTGACTGCTAGATCAACTAAAATATCAATCACTATATCATGGATATTAGCAATCGTTTATGGATTTAGTCCAATGATACTTTATGCCGATGCAACCACAGAGTGTACGTATGGTGTTATACCAAAAGAGTTCCATTATTATGGGAAAGGAATCGCATTTTTCGTGCCATTAGCGTTGTGCTTAGGACTACACAGCTATATCTTAAAAACTGCAGTTGATCAACAGAGAAAGTTAAGAAAAATGTTAAATCTACCTTTAAGATTGGATATGAAAAAACGGAGACCAGCGCTTACACCATTTTCTAACTATCTAAAAATCATGCGGATGTTTTTATTAGTGTATTGTTTATTTTTTATATGTTGGTGTCCATGGGTTATTAGTTCAATATTACGGGAAAAATACCATATCAGTGACAAGGTACTGGATATCCTAGCTTTAATCGGTATGTGTAATTCGGGGTTTAATTTTGTAATATATGTGCTTTTAAATAAGGAGATCAGAAAAACTATACAAAGAATGTTATGCACAAAACCATGTGCCACAAATAATGAACAAAGTCCAGTTTCTCGAAATAGTGTCGATCCCAAGTGATTATAAGCATTCATTTTGTTGATTTCCTCCAAAATTATCATTATTAAAAATAATGCACGAGATAAGGTTTTTCAGATCCTTGCAAAGCCGCATAAAGTTGATTATTTCCCATCGTTGGCGTATGGCGCCTGAGGTATATGTATATACATGGCAGCCGACAAACCATAAAATAATTTCCGATCTTCTTATGGTACAATTCTTATAAGAGGAATATATTTATTATGATTTTGAATTGATTAGTACTATTTACCCACGGTGGTGGTTGGTACAAGTGAACCAGTTATCTAGATCAGGTTTATATTTGATTTGAGAAAGAAGGAATTGAATAGACACAAAATCAGTTTCATCGTTATCAATAATGTGGATAATTCATCATCTTTCGACCAACCGAACTATAAATCCAACACCCTCATTGTACTTCCTTTATCACAAATCTCGCAATCATGCCTGTCATGATATGTCCAGGACAGACTGGAAGATAATATGCTAAAAAAATCATGACTAAAATATTCGACTCCAAACTAAGTAATTTTATTTTACAACTGATTACATTTGAACGGGTTAACTATGAAATAAGTCAGAAAGAACACAAATGAATAAAAAGAGATTTAGCTCAGATTCAATTATTCAAAAAAAGCGAAAAGATTATGGTATTTAATCCGAACCGGGATCTAAGATAAAAATAAATGAAAATAAGCAAGAATGTCAAATACGATTGTACATGGATATCTATATTATAATCTAATTAATTAAATAAATTGCAATTTTAGCGATAATGCCTTCTAAGGTCGTCGGTGTGCTTTTCTTGAAGGCTTTTTGCCTTCCCCAGCATTCGCCAGTAAAGCTATCTAACCTTAAATTCAGCAAATATATACGTTCTACTATGGATTTTATATATTATTGAAAGCCCAGAAAGTGATATCGTGAACGTAAGGAATATGATTTATATAAGAGGAGATTAAAGAGGTAGAAAATAGGTTATTATTTCAATCTCCAATTTAATGAAACAACATGATTCTGAAATAAATATTTTATTTATAACTTTTCTGTCATATTTTGATATATCGTTATAGCTTTTAAAAGGAACGTGGTGGGGTGATAATTCAGACAAGTATGTTCGTGAGTATTATAACTTTTGCAACATTTTTTTAAAACTAATAATTTACATCTCTGTTGCAACTGAAAAACGCGATGAAGGAGAAGAAATAACAATCGCTGTTAGGGCCTTTGGAAAAAAAACACTGCTTATTTACCACACAGTTCTTAGGAAATTGAAGTTAAGATGCTGTAGCTTGTCTTAATGGGGAATTATCACGATTCTGATATTCTATTCAAAAGATACATATGTTGGTATAAACTCCTCTTTAAAATAACAATAATCAGCAAATAAAACCATAGAAAAAATTGGTATTATTGCTTTATACGATTAAGAGATTTTTAATGCGATTTGATCACGTTTTATAAGAATATTCCTTTTTTGAAAGAAATTACTACAATATCTGGGTCAGCGAGCTCCCTGTGTTGTCGTTACATGTAGGTTTATGTCGATTCATTCTGAAGCAAACAAAAACACCTTCATGACGTACAATTTGGTAGAAATAAAGATGATGAATTATGGCTCTAGAGCGTTTAAAACAATTATAACTAACGATCACTATTGAAATATCCACAATATACTCTCGTCTTGTCTCATCAGATATTATTATATCTGTACTGCAACCTCTGACCACAATCATACAGTAATAAAAAGTTATAACTTGGGACGTTCTTGGAAGCCTTTTCTAAGCATTATCAGATAAAGCCATCATGCCAATTTATCCTATTCACTTTAAACCAAATAAATATCAATATCAATAAGAAATGTTAACATTTAAATAATTCAACGAGTTAGAGATCAGTCGTCTGGAAAGTCACGTCACACAAATATCGTTTCAAAAGAGTAGCTAACATTGTGTCATAATTAAACTTCCCTAGCGTTATTTTTTAATTTACGATTGTCAACTTGTTTTTGTATACCTGTACATTTGATTATGTGAAAGTCTATAGAATCGATAAGAAGAAAGTCTAAATCTATCTCCATGTCAAAAGAAATTTACTTTAAAATATAATTTGTATTGATTTATGAATAAGCTTGTGGGAAATTAGTCTAATTCATCACGCCAACGTTATAATAGAAAATACTACTCCCTTCTCAATAATCAGATATCGAAGGCTAAATGTCTTTCCAATACCTTCAATTTACTCCGCAGTCGATTTATTATTGAGTTGAGAAATATTTCAAAGCTATATATGATATACAAAGTAAATCCGTAATAGCTCAATCGCATTTGTTGCTCAAAGATATTTGCCGTAGTAGTTAATTGAGAACTATTTTGTGGGAAGTTTTGCAAAGCCCCTGGTCTGAGTGGTCGTTACAATTTGTTATAGATTGGTTGTATTGGATATTTATTTGTTGTCATATGAAAGATATTGCTGTGCTAGCAGCTTTGTTACAATTTCAGTAGCTGAAAGTGCAGTGAATTCCTCACATATTATTCCTCTTACTCATTTAGATGACTGTAAAGAGAAACCCAATTGTCCAATACTATTTAACTATATTCCTTTCTGACACATGCAATTGAAAGCGACACAATTCATACATTAACTCTTTCCCTAACGGCTTATCAACCTGTTAAAGCTTTTATTGCAGGAATAATTTAGATGAACTTTGATGATTTGGCACATTGATAACAGAAGAAATTATCTTGATTGTGTGTTATTTTTAGAATTCCCAAAGCAAAGGCTCTGGAGACCCGACGATATTTTCTGAATAGTTTCTATTAGAGTGAACATTTCCAGACCATGACAGAATATCAGATATCGGCAATAATATTTAATGTTAAAGTTAATCCAGTACGCTATATGATGCAATTTATTACTGCACGCAAGTCTTGTTAATTTTATAATGAACTTCTTGATTGAGTTCGAGGACTATATTTATTCAATGTATATGACTTAAGAGCTTAAAAAGTTAAAATGTTGTATAATGGCCTTATGGACAATCTTGTCTACTAGCAGATTCATTTATCTTTAACTGGGTAATAAGTATACCAAAGGAAAGTTTCTTAAACTTTTTCACTGGACATAGTATTTGATTTGTTTTAATATTATATTACCAAGAATATAAGACGAATATTAATTTCGTCAGATCGTCATCCGCTGAAAAATTACGAATACCCAAAATAAAACTGAATTTAGAAACGTTTCATTCCGTTAAAATGAGAGTATTTACCGATCTGGGTATATTTCTAAAACAGAACACATTATGATAACTAAAGTTTAAAAATCGGACTGTATGATAAAGTTAAAACTAAATGAACTTCATTAAACAATACTTACTCTCTATTTCGTGCAAACTTAATTTCGTGTATCTCTGAAAGGGATAAATAATTTACATTTGCGACATTGCGTGTTTTGCATGTTTTGATAAAAATGGGTTATCTCAATAACGTCAACCTCCAGAAGTTTTCCTATAACAAACTAAACAAATTTGAATTATTTTACAGAATATCTGAAGAAACATATAAGACATACACAATTTCTTTTCCATTTATTTTGACGGTATTGAATCCTTATGCACGAATATAAGTTACACCACTGTGTATATTTCTGTCAGATGATGGTGAGAAAAGACAAGATTATTCCCGAGATCCATTCTCATCCATTATTCTCAACCAAATTCTGTGTCAAAATCTAAATGTTATATGCATCCCATTCACTAGACAATAACAATGTGTTGCTATCAAGCCAGAGAAATATTTGTCATTCAGAACATTCGAGTATTGAGAACAGTCAATTGTACCTGCAAAATAGCAACATTGCAGTTTTTCATTTTCATTACAGCCACTGAGGGGAAACGAACTGAACTAGAATTTGATCTAATATTCTCTCAGAACTGGGTGTAACATTTGATTAGCTTATTTGATTAGTCAGGAATTGAACTATCGATAGAAAGAAACGTAGTATATAAACCTTATAAACCACGAGCTTTCACTTCAACTACAGAAAGTGATTAGTTAACTGTCACGTCAGCTCACTTGAAATTTCATCAAAACAACTGGAAATCAAATAAATTTGAATAATTCCCAATTATTCACTAACTTGAAAATGACGAAAAATTACCAGGAAAGACAATACACTTGCTATATTCGGTACATTATGTATATTATAATAATAGTGATTAATGTGAAGTAGAATCTATATTTATATTGATATACGGTATTTTAGATTGTTTAATAATTGTACCTAATCAGTCATTAGTAAATAACTATACCTTAATGTACATGTGGCTAGATGGTAATTCATTAGTAATTCAAACCAGTATAATCCATCCTACATCTACGAGCAAATTAATTCTAATTTTATATTGATTGCTAAGGTACTTACTGAGATTAGCATGTCGATATACTGAAATATCTACTCAAATAATACCATTCCCATGTGGATTATGCAATAAGTATTGAATGTTACGTTATTTGATGATACTGGACATTCGAATATTCTCTCTCGAACGGAAATAATCTGAAAGGTCGAATTACTACTATACAAATGTTTATTTTGAGATTTGAAGTCGTATCTCTGTAGTGATCGATTCTAGTCAATGTAAATTGCTTCATTGTTATTTTGCAAAATAGTGAATGTTAAAAATCAGTTTATATTGTGTTGCTTGATTGTGAAAAATTGATCTGAGTAAATGTCAACTTTCAGTTTTAGGTATGGAGTGATAAATAAGAAATTGAATCAGAAGAAGAATGGTTCGAAAATCGAAATATTTTGATACGTACCCGATGAACGTGAACGTGAACGTGTACGTATATCTTCTGAGTCAGATAAAAAATACTGACAGATGCGGTAGACCAATGGACTGGAGCTAGGTGATGATCAGGAACGAATGATCCAAATATGATATGGTTCGAATTTATTGTGTGATAACCAATACACGAAACATTATAGTTGTATTCGCTCTATCTGGAATTATTATAGAAAGCGTTGGTAGACAATAATTCTATTCTTATCACTTCACTTTTAGGGCAGACATAAACACTGAAGTTAAACAGATATATCGTGAGTCACATTGAAAGTAGTGAATAATTTATTACGAAACAGAAACTTAAAGTCTATTTTTTTTATTCTACAAAAGTTTCAAGATATCTGTGAGAAAGTTACGTGTATCAATAATACCGTTAATGACACTCGTCATAGATTAGCGTAAATGACTACACGGCAACGAAAATGATCTGTATCTATAATCACCCCATTGGACTACAATAAAACAGTAGTTTCGGAACACACCCACAAAGCAATATAAGTCTCCATTGTAATGTTACAGTAGAGATTCCCAAGTGCAGAAGACACCATGATAATGGTGTCGCTATTCGCTTCCTTGGGTTATAATCATTTGTTCTCGGGCATATCGCGAAATACTTTGCGAAACAAACTTTAAACTGCAATCAATAGTTTCTATGAAAATGATTCATCCCTTTGTTCAATTAATCGTAAATTTTGAATGTACGTGTGAATAGAGAACTGATCCTGTTTTAAAGGATATTAAGCCGGATATTTACGTCTAAATATATTGAGTTTCTTCTGAATAGCCAATTGACGTTTATTGTTCAATTTTAATTTTTCTGATCGAACGTTTTGACTACGAATATCATACGTCATTGGCGTAAGACCACCTTTAGACAGATGTCGTCCCCATGTTGATGCAGTTAATGTTGGGCGTCTTTGGTTCAAAATTTCCGATAACTGGGCATTTTTACTTAAACCCGAAGTCTTTTTGGAATCTAGTTGAAGAGCAAAATCTTTTTCTAAAGATTCTTGTAATGTAATCACTTTGGCCTTCCCCTTTTCTCTTTGTCCACGTAAATGTCCTATCTGTCGGTCATGCAAAGCTACTTTATATTCGATTTTTCCTTCTTGAATTTGTAAGATTCGTTTGGTAACATCAGAGGTATCATCCTCCCAAGCTGATCGTACTGACTCTGGCTCAGACTCATCATCTGAAACTGTACTAGCTGTTTCAGCATTACAACTAGAAGCAGCCCAAGATATGATAGGTTTACGCTTAGTCGGGCTACTTTGAGGTCGTACTGGAACTGAAGATGCAGATGATGTCTCACTATCGACGTGGCTTGTAGTGTGGTCAAAGGCAGACTGTGGCCGTTGAAATCGTCTTACTTTACGACTAAGGATGCGTTCACCATAGAGAAAACACGGACCTTGATCTACTTTCTTCTTTTCAATTGGAACATCTGGGCCTCGACCTTCTGAACTCCTACCGCTACTGGATTGTATGTATTCCAACGTTAATGATATCAATCTAATATCTTGGTTTGTAACGCGAATTTTGTGGATCTTTTCCTTCTCCAGTAGTTGCAATCGGCCTTGTAATCTAGATTGTTCTACATTATTGATACGATTAGCTCGTTGTATTCGAGTTGAAGAGAATCCAAGAAGGTCAGGCGGTTCTATATCTGTCATTATGGTTAATGAACTACCAGCTTCAATCTGAAAACAAAAATGATTTAGCAGTTAACATCACACATCGAATACAATTACTAATTTCTATATATCTTAAAGTGGTGGTGATATATTAGAGCAAAATGTTTAATTTGATCTCGCATTGATCATATGATATACCTTGGCTCTGGTAAGCTTATGGTAACATGTCATCGAGCTCTTTGGCAAACTTCTTCATCAAATTTGATAACTACTGATAATTACATAGTTTATCACATTTTTGCTATTTTCACCGTATAAATACTGGTAAAATATATAACTATACTAATGTCAAGTGTTTTAATAGCATCTTTTTAAGCTGGATTTATACTTCTGACGTCGGTACATGTGAGCATCTTCATTACGCGTGGGGACAATGGCGTTAACGCACGCTGAGGTCTATCGGCAATCGTAAGTTGACACGGCTAGCGTATTAATGGCGGTTGACAGCATAAGAAGCTTAAATCCAGCTTAAGTACACTATTTAAACAACACGTAAATGACTTCAGTTTTGACCCCCCTACTTCCTTTGCATTTCTTACTTTGATTTACACTGTAATGTCAAGTCTTAAAATAAAATGACAAAAACCACCAGAATCAAATAAAACGATTCTCTAAACACATTGCATGTATCCAAAGTCGTATTTAGTCTTTACTTGTGAAAATTACACTTCCTTCGTGATAAGATACAATTACATGTAAAGAACCCTTTAAGGTACTCATAAATTTTCCGTTTTGATTTCACCATATGATGGATAGATATTTCAATAGGATGTCTATAGATATCGCGAAAGTAGTGTTACAAGTTTGATAACCGACCTACATATGTCAAGTAAACAGATCCCAAGTGTGAATTGAAATGATGTAGAACCAAACTATCAGTGTTTTGTGTATTACTATATACGCAATACTAGCAAGTTACAATTATTTAATCTAAAACAGATTCATCAGCACAAAAGATTGATGAGATTTACTTCATCTGTGCTGTCCGGAAATATTAGTTTCTAGTGCACCCGGAATAGATATCTCTGAAAATTGTAATAGTCTGTTTCCTTGAAATTAGTTCAAATCAAGATATTTTCGATAACATATCCAGGTTCTGTTTGTTTTGTCCATAAGAGTTTAACTATCGCTGAATGTATTTGAACTATACAAACCAAATTGCCAATTCATACATCACATCTTCCTTATTTTGTTTATCTCAAATTGACTTCCTACGTCAACATTTTAACATGCAAGACAGTCTAATAAATTATAAATCCACCTGACAACGCCATGATGTGTGCTACGAGGGAAATTTTGCTATGACGTTAGCCTACTCTATTTTCAGTTCCAACTGTCGATGGACCTTTAATGTGCACAACCCGAACGAGTTCCTTGGATTATTTTTGTCCAGAAAAACATCAAGACGCCTTTTCGCATATGTTGAACATTGACTTGACCATGAAAGGCTGGCGTATATCAAGGTAAATTGGCAAGAGCACATAACTCTGTCTGAAGATTGATTTTAGAATAACATAGTGATTTTGGCGCGGTCATATCACTGTATTATAATTAAACAAATTGCAAGACGAAATAGTTTTCATTTCAAAAGAATTATTCTACTCTAATAACAGTTTATTGGTTTTTTTTTATTATGTGGTATAGATGTAAAATGAAATTTATTCAGTAATCATTTAATAAATATAGATTCAAACGCGGTGACATACTTTGTTATTGTAGCTCTGATATTAAAATTGACATTACGTCATATGAACGGAAGTAACCGGAACTATGATATTTAGAATATGGCAATCTCTCAATATACGAGGATAACTAACAGCATTCTAGTCCCGAAGTTTATACGAATGTCCATTTTTCCATGTCAGGACCTGCATCATTGACAGGAGAAAACCGGGTTAAAATACGAAGGTATTATCCCGACCTATGCTGAGGTTGAACCCTGAACATGCAGGTTAGCGAGCACCATCTGGTTAACAGGGGCCAATTACTTATATAATATGACGTATACCTGTTGATAGTTTGATATTGAATAAATATCCTATGATTAATATGAGTTTAGTCTAATATCATCAATCAATTTTGATAGTTGAAACAGGTGACATCATGAACATTAAACCATTGTCTCCATCTCAATCTCCTAACTGATTATTTATTATAACTGAGATATTAAAATAACATTAATTATTTTTAATTACTACTATAATAAAATGAATTATCATTAGTCATGAATTTCAATTTATCAAAATATGAAATTCATATCCGATTCCATATTTAACTTTATTCTACAACAGATTTTACCCACATTCCTTTCAGTTCCATAATGAGTTGATTTTAAAACTAAATTATTTAAGAAATATTGTATAGGGTCTCATAAGGGTTAATACTCAAAAATATTACTTACATTTTTAAAACGGAATATATAAGACTTTAAACAAATGATACAGGTCAACTTTGCATCTAGTTCAGCAAAATATAATAGGCCTACTTCAAAAAAACAGTTTTGTGATTACCTTAAGAGTCAATCTATCCGTGTCTCCAATAAACGATATAAATGTGTGTATTTAATGAAATTAATATAAGTATACCAGGATTTTAATGTTATTTTATAGACCAGTTTATAGACTTTAATTTTGGTAATTAACTGTTGAAGTATCAGGTGTCAAGAGAATATATTGTAACATTCCAATTGAAAATTGTATTTTATATTCCTTCACTTGTTTTCAAGATATAATAAACATAAATCTTGTAGTTTTATTCTCTTTTAAAGAGTTTTGATTATAGATACCTTATCATGTACTATCCCTACTCATATGAACCGACTCCAGTAAAACATCTTGTAGTCTGTGCTATTTTTAGAAATCCTCTTATTCCCTCCCTTTTGGAGTTTTTGCTTGCCTAATTTTTGGCCTAGATTTGAAATTTGATGTCTGAAATAGCATTTTCTTTCAGATTTTGTGAGATGAGGAGAGATTTTCATGCGGAATGATAATTATAAAAATAGTTGTTTTGTGACAGTCAAACTGATCTTGATAAAATGTAGTGTTATTGGCTAGCTCATGCTTTTCATGGTCATGATATATTGAATTTTTGTCCAGAAACTAAGCGTTGGCAAGGATTTCATGTGACAAATTGAGAAGTTTTCAGCGAGATTTCTGGAAAAAATTATAGAAGGTTGAATTTCGAGATTAAACATGGAAACAGATGGCAAATGAATTTTTGGGGTGGGTCCATATGTTCAACATGGATTCCCGAATTTTGTTTAAAAATATGTTTTTATATTGCCTTAATAGTTTTGATAATACATGTACATGTATCGTGACCAGCTTATATTTTCAAATAATATGTTATCAAATAGATCGACTCTTTATTTCCTCGAATAATGATATTATGTGTACACAGACCAATTAGTGTTGGGATTTCAAAGAGTAGTTAATGATATGTCAAAAATTAGATTCTTAGTAATGTATTTTCTTTTTACAAACTGAGGGTGGGAAAAGGACAACGAAACCAATTACTCCTTCAGTTCCTACTCAGATTTTATCAAATGAATTTTAAGATATGTTAGAAAATAGTACATAACTTCTCTAGATAATTTTCTTGCTATTTGTTCAGGGAGACGTATTACTGACAGTTATGTTTCTTCAGAGATCACAACCGTTTCAAAACACTTCAATCAACCCGATCACCAATTAACAGACCTGAAAATTATTCCCATTGCACAGATATACGAACAACCTGGCATTGATACAAAGAAAATTCGACTCATTCGCGAAAATTATTGGATAAACAAATTACAAACCATGCATCCTTTAGGAATGAACATCCAAGTTGATTTCCAAATTATACCTTTTGTTATTCAATACATCAACACAGCTGGTCAAGTTCCCCGAATAATTATCCGTCTTTACAAAGAATTGCACGAAAAATTTCCAACAGTCTTCTACAAATGATTTAGTTATCGCCTATACCCGTAATAAAAATCTAAATGATATCTTAGTCCGTGGTAGATTACCCCCCATCCCCCTTCCATAGGTTTAGTACATTTCCTTTAATTAATATTTCTTATTTATGATAACTTACAATTGAAGAGTTTCCTCGCAAAAATATCATACATGTATACTATTTTCACTTAATAAATTATATATATTTTTCCTTTTCATTTAATATAGGACAATTCCTCAGTTTCACCAGTGAAAATGTTTATCATGATTTCCATGGTTATTAATGTTCCTGTTGGAACCAGTATTCTTCTTATATATTTCAGATTCGGAAGATAATGGATTTGCATTTCAAATATTCTATATCATTCTTTTAAACTAACTTCACAAACATTGCTCTATCACTAGAGGTTACGCCTACATGCCTGTGCCTGTGCTTTCGTAACATTGCTTAACCGCAATGTTAGAACCTAAAATTCCTATTGATCGTTTACATTACCAAAAGTACATACACAAAAACCTTTTATCGGAAGATGCAATGACCCGTATCTCTATTCCGTTTACAACGGAAGTCGACTAATGTGTCTGAAAATGTTGAAATGCGGAGTTCTGTCAAATAATGACTCAACATGTATTGGATGGGTCTGTGTTTCGTTCTTAAAGGAATACAACCTCTTAGAATAGACATAAAATTAAAAGTCTCAATCATGGTCAATAAGAGTATATTTATATTCCATCTGTGGGACTTACCACGATATATCTATTAAACTAAGTAATCATTGAAAAACGCTTCTAATCGTGTTTCAAAATGACTTTGTTTAATGGATTATTACTTAGTTTTATGGATTTATGTATTTTGGAGGGGTTCTGAGGTGTATTTTCTCACCAGGTAAGTCCACTGATGAACAAAGACTGATTTTGGCCAAGTTTGAACATAACAATTTTTTGATCATCCTAAGAGGTAGTACATGTTCTTTAAAGTATTGTCGTCAACATGTTGTAGAGAACCAAAAGATACTCGTAACGCATTGGTTCCCACAGCATAGTTTTCACAAGCAAATAGCAACAGCCAAATAAATGCAGTATTTAGTGATACTACTCGTAACTGATGTCAGAATAGGTTCAAAGCTCTCAAAGTAACGTACAATGCCAAACTTACGTACCATGAACTACGTCTAGGTACGTCTCATATATTTGAAAAGTAAAATAAAACAAACCTCCAAGATATCTTATCTCATAAATAACTTCTGTTTATATTTGATATATTATTATGTTTATAAATCACTAAAAGATTCTATTCACTGTTGTTATGTAGGGTACAGACTATAACTTATATAGTAAACTTCGCTATATAGATAAAGCTTGACTTTTGACTAGGTAAATACAATAGTAAAAGTGATCAGCATATTTGACAGTTAGCTATATACTTATAAGTAATACACACATAAAAAACGTGTTTTAATACAAGTTTCCACCACTCTGAACAAACATACCGTATTTATTATGACAATGTTTTGGTTGCAAATCTCTATTTTTATCGACTGTTTATTTGTACATACAAATATTATCATTCATTGTATTAGTACAAACAATCAGTAATCATTCAAAACAAAAAATCTTTAAAAATCTTTTTTAAATAAAAATATTTGCTGTTGAATATCGGCGCTAAAGACATATCGACCCCTCTTATCCTCAGTAAAGGAACAGATTTTGTTGATTATATTTTCAGAAAATTGAAAGTTTTCTTGAAATTTGCAGGATTATATCGATACAAATAATGCATGTGTAAGTATATACAATTAGGATATACAATTAGGTTTATGCACATTGATATTTTCATTAATATTAAGAACAAATGAAATTTATAAAACAAGGATTACCCTCACATGTAAAATGCAAACAAAACCGATAGATCTATGATCAAAAGGAAAACAAATACATGTATGTTAAAATATCAATTCTAGATTTAATATTTTCAGCAAAAACATACATAGACATATTAGAGAAATAGAGCCAATGTCAGCTGTGTATACAAACAGGAAATTTAGAATATACTCTTGAGGACCATGTTCTGCAGTAATGTAATTTTTAATATTAATTAAACGTCTGTGAGATATTAAATTCCATAAACCCAATTTACACTATACTAATGTTCGAAATATTTTCTAACAATGATGTAATGGAAAACGGCGCAGAATAAACACGAATTCAAATAATCCAGAGTTTTTAGAGATATAAAGAGTTTGATGTTGCCCAAACGCCTTTACTCAGCTCAGGGGTCGAATAAAGGACTTGATCCTACAACGTCCTTGTAAATATTTGAGGGAAAATGGGAGATTAAAAAAATAAGAATAGGCTATAAGAATACCGTTTACATAGAATAAGTAGATCGTAGTTATTAATTAAAGAGATCATTTTAGTCTGTTCCAAATAAATGAGAATTCTCATTTAGCTCATCCCATTGTGATGTAAGTTGTAGTATTCAGGAGCACATTTAAAGCATTGGTCATATCCTCTAAAAGAACAACAGTCACCTCAAATTGACACCAATCACTTTTAGCGAATTCATTAGACAGTACAATCAGTTCTCTTCTGCTATTTTCTATAGATTCAACAATATTGTCCATTATCATGGAACCAACATTAAAATAAAGTTCATGAACAGAAAGTTTTAAATTTTCTTCTTCTTCTAATTTCGCATTTTCGAATCAAGCATTTCCTTGTGGACTGTTTCAATTTTATTACCCATGATATTAATATGATGCAATTTTAAATTATGGTCAAAGAAACCAGAAGGCCACCTTAAGTACGTTAATCGCTTCAACCCTTGTAGAGCTGTGTGATGTCGTGTAAAAAAACTATAGTAGAGGTCTAGACCACTAACAGAAGTTATATACGAATTGTATTAAGTTTTGTGGAGTAAGATGTTCTAAAATCTGAGAGATGGTTTCCAGAAATATCCAAAATATCCAGATTAGAACACCCTGCAAAAGCCTTGGGATCGATGTATTCAGAGTACATATCATTATTATTGAGGAGAACTGTCTGAAGTTTACTGTTTTTGAAAGCATAATTTCTAAGTCCAAGTCGTATATTAGGATTTCTTTGACTGGTAAGTACTAATGTATTCAATTCAGTTTAGAAAAGAAATCAGATCCTATCTCAACGATAAAATTTTTCTGTAAATTAATTTTTTAAAGATTTGTTAAACAGTTTAAATGTTCTGGACTATACCGACAGATCATATTATTAAGTAACCAAATTTCTCGTAGACGAGAGGTCATCGCAACGTTTTGATCAAAGAAATAAAGAAATTTCATTTAACCTATTTGAGCTTCAATATTGGTTTAAACATGGACAAATTTAGTGTTGGGAAATTATTTCCAGAGATATTTAGTTCTTGCATATATGATTTTGAAAGTTCATTAAAGATGTCCGATGGTGGATTGTACACTGACGGCAAATTTTTTGACAAATACACGTAATCTAAATGGGTAAACATTTTGAATGAATTTTTCTTTCGCTATTTTCTTAATGTTGTTATTGATTAATGCTAATCCTTTAAGTTTTTTCTTCATATGAATGATATTTTAAAATGTTTCTGATACTTTCAAATATGAAATACACAGAATAAAACAATGTTGTCCAATGTAGTATACAAGAAGACTAAAATCAATTCAAGTATATTCCTTTATATAAAGATGGTATACAATATTATCTTTCCAGTTTAATTAAATGGGCAGACCGGTATAAATATCAAGTCAGCTATTTTTTAATAAATTTCACATAGAAATATCTTTGTGTAAATCTTAACATACATAACATACATATTCTACTCTGTCTTTCGATATAAATCTTTAAGTACATGTTTTATCTGTGTTGACAGGACTATTAATTTCCAATCCTTCTCATAGTTATTTAGCTACGTAACATTTACCCAGGTTACTTAGAAATTTTATGTTATCTTTGTTATCTTGAAGACTAACTTGATGAATACTGATAATGATAATGAAAATCACTATTCTTCCTCATCAAACTTTGTGTGAGGAGTTCTTTGTGATGAACAATTCGCTTATGACACAGGTACTTTATCTGTATTATAATAAGGAAAAGTTTTAGGAAGTAGTGGACTCGTGACTGGATTTCTCCAAGTAGATAGTTATATAATGAAATAGATAGCTATAAACTGGGAAAACTTACAAACAACCAATATAATATTTACTTCCTATAGAAAAACTGACTTTAGCCTATGCATTTTATTACTTATATCATTAAATCAAAGGGAAGGAACTACAAATTTATAGCCGTTATAAGACGACAACCATTTTCAGAATTCTGACTCGAGCGTATGAACTTGTGATTTTCTGAAAGAACAAGATTTTTGATTTTCTCCGGAGTGGAGTGAAAAAAGCATCCCTTAACCACTACTTACGGAAATTCTGTCTCGCGTTGACTACTTCTTGTTTAAAGTCTATATGGATCATGCTTGATGACAAAGGTCAGTTAAGTCTATTTAGAACTACTTCATCCCATAATCCTGGACATGCTGAAAGGGTACCAGCCATGTAAAGAGTGTCGGCTTCTTATTGGTGGGCTTGTAAGTTATGTGGTAGACAATGCCAGAACCTTGTCTTCATCGCAGTCGCTTATCAGTAGAAACGGGTGGCGACCATCTGTGGTCTCTGACCATTTATCTTCAATATGTAATTTTGACCGCAAATTTGGTAAAACTGGAATTATCTGGCTTCATCTACTTGCGCGACTTGCTCCACGTATATCTGCATCTGTGTGGTCTCTTCTAGCGCTCAATTACGAAGATTGCTCACAAAGTTCACTCTGGTTTCATCATCAGATGGGTGGTTATGTTAAGACTGATTTCGGAGAAAGTCTCGTTCTGTTGTACATTTTCAATCACACGTCTTGACGTCTCCATCACCATTGGGTACATGCTTGTCTCTCGCGGTTTCTGTTGGAAATGTACCCGTCTAATATCAACTGCGTAGTTCCACGCTTGGATGTGAAGAAATCTGCTTTCCTTAAACCTGACATATCGATAATGGTTGGTATCCAAAGATGGAGAAACCATATTTATTTGTTTGATGAGTAGATGATCTAAACTCAAATAGCTTCAAATGCCTTTTGATCATGTGCTGAGAGTAAGTAAACTTTCGAAATTAAAGGAAATTGTAACATATACACCCCCTAAAATATGAGTCCTCTACCCCTACTCACTACCTTAATCTAAGTAGGGCTGATCCATTTCACTTGTAGGTAGGTTCAATCATTGCCTACTTAACCATGTCTAACAATTTGGACGTCTAACTAAAGTTGCGGGCACACGAGCTGTCTTGGGCGGAGATTTTTGTCGACGATTAGAGTCTTGAGTGTGCCCGTGCTTCCACGACAAGATTATCTCGTCCCCGATAGAATTCATAATATCAAACAAGTTTGATAATTATCTCCGATAGTCTTATCGCCTGCAAGACAGACCGTCATCACCCGATAAGATTCATTTTCCTTTCAATTGCAGGATTATCGACATGATGGGAAACGAACGTCTGCAGATATTTTTCTCCTCTTATGCCCGTGCCATTCGGCGAAACTCTTGACAAGACTCTAGTCGGTGACAAAAATCTCCAAACAAAGAACATTCGTGTGCCCGCACCTTATATATAATAAGGTATAATTGACTTAATCTCTTATCAAGGTGTTGCTCGCCTTTTTTAATCTTACTTGTGATAATACGCTGAAGTTTCCTATTTATACAAATGGTAAGTCTAGCTCACTGGTTGGTGAACTGACAGTCTTCAAGGCACGAGTTATACCCCTTATTTCACTTTTTTTTAATGTTTTCTTTTTTCAAACAATATCGGTTATAAGTAATAACTTTCCCTTGGGTTTTTATGATATTTAAAACCCTTTCCCTCGGAAAAACTCTCGGGGACGTTGGATTTTAGACATCATAAAGACTCTTGTGTCGTGTTTTATCCTATACATAATAGCAACATTATATAATGTGTAGCCTACAAGTACACCATATACATATGCATGTAATGACCTGCGTGTAGCAACCGTTAACTTGTAAATGGATAATGGATCAAAACCAATCATTTCCTCCTGCTGCCTTTTTCGAAACCTTTTCATAATCTCATTTATTACTATTCTAGGCTCTCAGTACCATTTACTGGATCTCAGTCATTTAGTTTATGTCATGTTAGTTGTTTTCCATCAATTGGTTTCCTACGTTAGAAATAGTACATAGTGTGCATATACAAATAAAGAACCAGAAATAATCTTTACAGTACATGGCATGTACAAATGGACTGTAGCTACCAGTTTAGGCCTGGTGTTAGGCTAGTTTTGATTACGTTTTCGTATGTAATTGACCTGATTACGTCGCTAATTTTGTGGGTACGTTTTTTTTTTTGGAAAAGAAACAGCATGACTGTCGGAATTTTATTTTTGATGTAAATTTGGACTTTGCTTGGACGTGTTTGTGTCAGATTTGGTACCAAACACTTGGAAACCTATTATTACTACTACTATTACTACTATTACTACTACTATTACTACTATTACTACTACTATTACTACTATTACTACTACTATTACTACTATTACTACTACTATTACTACTATTACTACTATTACTACTACTATTACTACTATTACTACTACTATTACTACTACTATTATTACTATTACTACTACTATTACTACTACTATTACTACTATTACTACTATTACTACTACTATTACTACTACTATTACTACTACTATTACTACTATTACTACTATTACTACTATTACTACTACTATTACTACTATTACTACTACTATTACTACTATTACTACTATTACTACTACTATTACTACTATTACTACTATTACTACTACTACTATTACTACTACTATTACTACTATTACTACTATTACTACTACTATTACTACTACTACTATTACTACTATTACTACTACTATTACTACTATTACTATTACTACTATTGCTACTACTACTATTACTACTACTATTACTACTACTATTACTACTGCTATTACTACTATTACTACTGCTATTACTACTATTACTGCTACTATTACTACTACTATTACTACTATTACTACTACTATTACTACTGCTATTACTACTGCTATTACTACTATTACTACTACTATTACTACTACTATTACTACTACTATTACTACTATTACTACTACTATTATTACTATTACTACTACTATTACTACTATTACTACTACTATTACTACTACTATTACTATTACTACTATTACTACTACTATTACTACCATTACTACTATTACTACTATTACTACTACTATTACTACTATTACTACTACTATTACTACTACTACTACTATTACTACTATTACTACTACTATTACTACTATTACTACTATTTCTACTTCTATTACTACTATTACTACTACTATTACTACTACTATTACTACTATTACTACTTATTGGAACTGTTTGGAACTTTTATTAGAATTTGTCTATGTGATGGCTGTCACGACAATATAGATTCATGCTGTATGGTGTATTTTGAATATTATTATGGATGAAAACTATTTATCTACTGACTCTTTATTCCCTGCCGACGCTACACGTGATTGCTGACATTTTGTGAGTTAATTACGGTGGGTGCAATATACAACTTTACAAATTAGACAATTTAATGATGGACGAGCTGTTTATTAAATGTGACGACCTTTTAAGGGTGTTTTCTGGACATTTCTCTACATGTTCAGACACCAGTAGTGTAGCTGCCAAGAAAAGAGAAAAGTTAGCCCTTGCCAAGTTAAAAGTGAAGCAGCTGAAACAAAGTCAAGAACTAACCAAGAAGTTTAATGAGTTGAACCAAGAAAAGGAATTGATGGAAGCAATGAATGAGGCAGAGCAAGCTGAAATTAGTTTACAGGTTTTTCAAGAAGAAGAAACCAATAAGAGACTTTTTGAGTTCGATGAATTTAAAGACCCAAGGAAAAACATTGATACATTTGTTAATGAAACTGTAAATGTAAATTTAGGGAATATGCATTCTGTTCCTACCTGTAGGCCAAATTATGTGCATGTAAGAAATCCAGTGTCTACTTGTAGTACCTATATGCATTTGCCAGGACCCGTTTCTAATTCTATGCCAGTAGTATCTAGTTATACTGCCCCTGTGAGTACTTTCACGCCTGTAAATGTTAGAAATCCTTTGCCAAGTTATGTACCTTTTAATATGAATCCTATGGTTAATCAATATGTACCTATGACTAATTTTGTTCCTGTTGGGAATTATGTTCCAACTTATGGTAATAATCCTGTTTCTGTTAATAATAATCCTGATCCTTGAATAATAATCATGTTCCTTTTGGTAGTTATGCAAATGATAATAATGCCGTTGCTTCGAGTCATTATGAAAATTCATATAATGATCCTGTTGCTATGAGTAATAATTATGTATCTGTTGGTAATCCTATTCCAATTCAAGAGCATTTACCTGTTGTAAATCATGTACCTTGTTATGATAGTGATTTGATTAATTTTGATAATAATGTTAATGTTGATAGAAATGTAAATATGCATGATAATTCTGTTATACAAAGTGAACAAATTAAGCCTAGTACCGAGGATGTAATGCTTAAATTGTGCGAGGCAGTATTGACGCCTAAATTAGAATATTTACGATTTGACGGTAATCCATTAAACTATGCTTCGTTCATACACAACTTTGAAACATGCCTTGAGAAACAAACTTCTGACGATTCTAAAAGACTACAATTGCTTATCCAACATTGCGGTGGTAAAGCTAGAGACGCCATAGAATGTTGTGTTAATTTATCGCCGGATGAAGGTTATATAAGTGCTAAAGAAACTTTGTTTGAAAACTTTGGACGACCCCACATTGTGGCTAGGGAGAATCTAAAAAGGCTTAAAGATTTACCAGACATTAAAACTGCGGATGGTGCACATCTACTTGAATTTTCGAGACACCTTGAAATAACATATCGAACTTTAATGGGCATGGGACAAGATTATATTGCTGACTTGGATCACACAAACAATTTGTTAGTTTTAAGCAGAAGATTACCTATGTTTTTGAGAGCGAAATGGGTAGAAAACGTCGGACGTATAACTAAAAATGATAAGAAGCCAAAATATTTAGATGTTATGAAATTTATTAAATCTAGAGCTGAATTGGTAAACAATGAATTCGGAGAAGATATGACTTTTTCTAAACCTGCAGACAATAACAAGTTTGTTAAGAAATCAGGCCATACAATGTCTAGACTAGTTTCAACAATGGTAACCTCTGAATCCAAACCAACAAACCACAAGCAAAGTGAGGTTAAAAACTGTTCGTATGGTAATAATGGACACGATGTTTGGAGATGCGAAAAGTTTACTAATTTAAAACCACAGGATAGAGCAAAATCTACAATTGAACATTCTTTGTGTTTAAAATGCTTAAACATTGGACACTTTTCAAATTCTTGTGATAAAAAGGACTTTAAATGTAGAATTGATAATTGTGGTAGAAATCATAATTCATTATTGCATGGTGCAGACTTTTCTGTGTTTAAGAAAGACAAATCAAACAATGATAAACCTAAGAAACCTAATGGATGTGGATCATTGACTGCAGCAACTGGGGCTGGTGTGAGTCGTGTATGTTTAGGTGCCATTCCATGTAAAATTAAGATTAACAATAGTGAATTCTTTAAGACATATTTTTTACAGGACAATTGTAGTGAACTTAGTCTGTGTTCTCAGAAGAAAGTTGACTTTTTAGGTGAAGGCAGTAATTCTAAAGAAACTTTAAAACTTACTGGTATTACTGGAACTGCGGACATGATTAGTCAAAATGTGGACATAACTGTGATGTCATTGGATGGAAATGTTTCATATAATTTGAAGAACGTGAAAACAGTGGAAGATTTGCCTATATCCAATAGTTGTATAGCAATGAAGTCTGATATTAAAAACTACTCTCACCTGAAAGATATCGTATTAGAAGATCTGGATGAACCTGAAATATCCTTGTTGATTGGTTTAAAACAAAACCCTAGTTTATTTATACCTTTAGAAACTAGATATGGTGAGAAACATGAACCCATTGCTGTGCGATATAGCTTGGGATGGACTATTTTAGGACCTGTTGGTGGACGTAAGATGAGTGATTCTCATTCAGTTAATTTTGTCAAACTTGACACTCATGTGGACAATTCGGATCCTGATTTAAAAGGACAATTAGATCGTTTGTGGAAAACAGACTTCGGTGATTTAGAAGTTGACAATAAAGTCCGTTGAGGATAAACGAGCTTTAGACATTATTCAGAATAGTGTCAAGTTGGTTGATGGACACTATCAAGTGGCACTTCAATGGAAAAGTGAACATTCGGTACTTCCCGATAATAAATCTTCGGCTGAATTTAGACTTAAAACGTTTAAGAGACGATTTCTTAAAAATCCAGACTTATTTGATAAATATAAAATTGCAATTCAAAATTATTTGGACAAAGGTCATGCGGAATTGGTTTCAGCAAAAGAGCTTCAATCAGAGGATCGGATTTGGTATTTACCTCACCACCCGGTAACACACCCACTTAAGCCAGGAAAGGTGCGCATCGTGTTTGATTGTGCTGCCAAATTTGGTAATACTTCCCTGAACAAGAACTTATTACAGGGACCAGACTTAGCTAATTTGTTGGTTTGAATATTATTGCGGTTTAGACAGGAGTTGATTGGAATCACTGCTGGCAGTTGGTCCTAAAGATTGCGATGCATTTAGATTCATGACTTGTCTAACTCTGTAGAAGAATTTAGGATGGTGAAACATATTTTTGGTTCGACATCATCACCATGTGTTGCAAATTATTGCGTAAAACTGTGTGCTAGATCTCACGAGAATGACTTTGACTCTGAAACTATTTTAACTGTTCTACATAATATGTACGTCGATGATTTGATGAAATCCGTGGATACTGTTGATAAAGCTGTTAACCTGTATACTAACGTGACTGAACTTTAAGCTAAAGGTGGTTTTCATATCACTAAATGGTACAGTAACAATCGTGAATTTTTGACTCATGTTCCAGAAAATGAAAGAGCAAAATCAATTGTTAACCTGGACTTGGAAAAATTACCAACTGAAAGTGCTCTTGGCATGTATGGAACACTGACAATGATTGTTTTATTTGGAAGAATATGAGCGAACTCTACGTTGGCGCATTTAACAAAACCATGACGAGAAGGGGAATTCTTTCTATTGTTTATTCACTATTTGACCCTTTAGGCTTCATAGCACTGTTCGTTATGAAGGCGAAATTAATTCTACAAATGCTAAGTAGAAAACAATTAGGATAGGACGATCCAATATCGGACGAGGACAAATCACAGTGGACAAATCATGCACAAAGACTTTGTGAAATCCAAGTTCCAAGGAGTTTTAAGTCGAAAGATTTGAGTGACATTGTTGATACTCAACTTCATTTATTTTCGGACGCTTCGCGTATCGGGTATTCGTCTGTAGCTTATTTGTGATTTGTGGACAATATGGGTAACATTCATTGTGCTTTCGTGATGGGAAAGGCTAGACTTGCGCCTCTTCGCGAAATTTCTATTCCTCGATTGGAACTATCGGCTGCAGTCATCTCAGTAAAACTTTGTAAATTAATTCAAGAAGAATTAGACTATAATATTAATTGTATTGTGTATTGGACAGACTCTATGTCAGTTTTGAAATGTATTAATAATGAGACAAAACGTTTTCACACATTTGAGTCAAATCGCTTGACTATTATTCATTCTGGAGCTGAAGCATCTCAGTTCAGATACGTTGATCGAAATTTGAATCCTGCTGACGATGGATCAATAGGATTGAAATTAAAGACTTTTATTCAAAATGATCGTTGGCTAACCGGACCTGAATTTTTGTACCAGGAAGAACACTTATGGCCTAAAATGATTGATATTCCAGTTATGTTAGATACAGACCCTGAAATTCGCAAAAAAGCTCAAAATTATGCTGTTGAAACTGACAATAAGAATCCTATAAGTGAATTTTTCAAAAGATATTCGTCTTTTCTAAAGTTGAAGAGAGCCGTTGCTTGGATGTTGAGGCTTAAAAGGATTTTACGCGGGAACGGATGATCCGCTCTTTGAAACAAATTTTAAAATCTGTTCTTAAGGAACAAATTGTAAGCGATGAAGTTTTTTTGACTGTTGTAGCTGAAGCTGTTCTTATTTTGAATAGTCGACCATTGACTAGGAACAGTGACAGTGTATTAAATGATGAACCACTTACTCCAAATCATCTATTACATTTACGTTTTACTTCTAGTGTACCTCCAGGAACATTTGACAAGAAAGATCTTTATTTAAAGCGAAAATGGAGGCAGGCTCAATATATTAGTGATTTGTTCTGGCGTAGATGGATAAACCAGTATTTGCCTTCGTTGACAGAAAGATCCAAATGGTATACTGTTAAACGGAATATTGCTGTTAGAGACTTAGTTCTGGTGGCTGATGATAAT